AGCTCTGCTCTGGAGCCAGGCTGGGAGAGTTGGGGTGTTCAGCCTGGAGAAGAGAAGGCTCCAGGGAGACCTGAGAGCAGCTTCCAGTGCCTGAAGGGGCTCCAGGAAAGCTGGGGAGGGGCTTGGGACAAGGGCAGGGAGGGATGGGAGCAGGGGGAAGGGTTTCCAGCTGGCAGAGGGAGCTGGAGCTGAGATGGGAGGGAGCAATTCTGGGCTGTGAGGGTGGGGAGAGCCTGGCCCAGGTTGCCCAGGGAAGCTGTGGCTGCCCCATCCCTGGGGGTGTTGAAGGGCAGGTTGGATGGGGCTTGGAGCAGCCTGGGCTACTGGGAGGTGTCCCTGCCCATGCAGGGGTGGGACTGGATCAGCTTTAGGTCTCTTCCCACCCAAACCATTCCATGGTTCACCTCACCAAGCCCAGCCTTCCTCCAGCAGCACAGAGGGCCAGATACAGGGGCAGCCCAGGTGACAGCTGGTGTCTCAGCTGTAAAGTCACCCTCCCTGGGGACTGTCACTGCTACTGTCACCTACCTGACTGTGCCAGGGAGTCCTTGGCACAGTGGCACTGGAGCTGCTCTATCCTGTTGCACAGGGATGTCACTGTATTGTGTAACCTCTCCAGCTCGTAGGTGGAACAATCCACCTGGAAGGAAACAGGAGAGTTGGGCTCAGCCAGGACCCCTCATGCTGCTCTGATCAGACTCACCCATCCCAAGCCCATCTACCCTGAATTCCCTTGGAAGTCCCACCCGAAGGGGGGGATGGGAAGCCTGGAGTTGAATGAGAAGGGACTGACACACAGAGGAGCTCACTGCTGGTTTGTTCCTTCACCTCTGCCAGGCCACCCTCCACAGAGCAGGTCTGCAGAGTCACAGGATCACCTCGACTGGAAACACCTTCAAAGACCACCAAGTCCGACCATCAACCTAACACTGACAAGTTTTTAACTAACCCACATCACTCAGTACTCTGTCCAGGACTCCTAAATCTCTCCAGGGATGGGGGCTCCACCTGGGAGCAGCTGCCCACACCTCATTTGAGGTCATTTACCAAGCTCTGCTGTCAGAGATGCAGCAGATTCTCTCTGCCCAGGGCAAACACCAACCTGAGCACTGAGCAGCTAGAGGGAGGTGATTCTAAAGGCAGGAAGATGCTTGAGCTTCCAAACTGTAGAAAAAAAAAAAATCCCCCAGCAGGAGTTGGTGAGTTACCTGCTGGATCCTGTCGAGCATCTCGGTGACGTGGATGTAGTCCAGGTAGACCAGCCCTGCCAGCTCCCAGTCCTGGATCAGGGCACTGCGCTCTGGGGGGGCCAGGTCCTCCAGGAATCCCTTCAGGTACTTGTAGTTCTCGTTGATAATGGCATCTGGAGAGAAGCAGCAGGTTAGTGACCTGGGAAAGGGGCTTCTGGTAGGTCAGGAACATGGACTGCTGAAGAAAACCCAAGTAACGGACTGAGCTCTTCAGGAGTTCTGTGACCCCTGACACCACCAGCCAGAAACGTTGATGTGAATAAATTCTTCACCATGAGGGTGGGGAGAGCCTGGCCCAGGTTGCCCAGGGAAGCTGTGGCTGCCCCATCCCTGGGGGTGTTGAAGGGCAGGTTGGATGGGGCTTGGAGCAGCCTGGGCTGCTGGGAGGTGTCCCTGCCCATGGCAGGGCAGTTGGAAACTGATGAGCTTCAAGGTCCCTTCCAACCTTCACCACACTGAGTCTATGACTTAGGAGCTGCACAAGACAAGTCTAAGGCCATCCCACTTCCAGAAGCAGGATGAGGGCACCAGAAATGCCACTGCTACCCTTGTTGCCCAAGGCACCTCTGGCACTGGAAGGTGCAGAAGGTAAAGTCCTGTCCTTCTCACATGTCTGCTGTGACCCACCAGCACCCCAGGGACCACCAGAGCTTGGTCACTCTCTGCTAACCCCAGCCCCACCCCTTCCACCATCAGCTCCACCACTGCCCATGTACCTCAGCACCATCTCCAGGGCTTGGAAACCCCTCCAGGGATGGGGACTCCCCCCCTGCCCTGGGCAGCCTGGGCCAGGCCCTGACAACCCTTGCCAGGGAGAAATTGTTCCCCAGATCCAACCTCAACCTCCCCTGGCACAACTTGAGGCCGTTCCCTCTTGTCCTGTCGCTTGTTCCTGGGGAGCAGAGCCCGACCCCCCTGGCTCCAACCTCCTCTCAGCAGCTGCAGAGCCAGCAGGTCTCCCCTCAGCCTCCTTTGCTCCAGGCTGGACACCCCCAGCTCCCTCAGCTGCTCCTCACAAGTTCTCCAGCCCCTTCCCCAGCTCCCTTGCCCTCCTCTGGACACCCTCCAGCGTCTCAGTGTCTCCTTTCTGACCCAGAACTGCCCTCAGGACCCCAGATGCCCCCTCACCAGGGCTGAGGAACACCCAGTGACTTCTGTTCCTGCATTTTGAGTTGTCCAAGAGATACAAGGACGTGACCCCGACAAGAAACTGACCTGAGGCCAAGTGCCTGACAACCAGCTTGTGACACTGGTTCCAGTGCCCAGCCTTGAACAAGAAGAGGGCTTCTTTGTGCTTGTCCCCCTCCATCCTTGCTCGAACTGCCTTTGCTTCATGAATCCACTCTGGGGGGACGCAGAGCCTCTCAGTCAGGAACACCTCCTTGCTCCAGGACTCGGGGGTCTCCTCCAGGCTGCAGTGCCGGTCCAGGAGCTCCCGCACGGCCTTCTCCCGGGTGCTGGGGGGAGAGAGGCCCAGGGTCAGCTGGGATCACTTCACAACAGGTTGAGCACTGAGAGAAATCATCACTGATGTTTTGGAACATCTTAAATGTTCTAAGCTTAAAGGTTAGAATCACAGAATGGTCAGGGTTGGAAGGGACCTCTGGAGATGATCGAGTCCAACCCCCCTGCCAGAGCAGGATCCAAACCAGGGCAGGTCACTCAGAAAGGCACCCAGACAGGGCTGGAAAGGCTCCAGAGAAGGAGACTCCACAGCCTCTCTGGGCAGCCTGTCCCAGGGCTCTGCCACCCTCACAAAGAAGTTCTTCCTCATGTTGAGGTGGAACTTCCTGGGCTCCAGTTTGACTCCATTGCCCCTCGTCCTGTCACAGGGCACAAGTGACAAGAGCTTGTCCTGCCTTCTTGACGCCCTCATGTATTTATAGACATTCATTAGATGTGTCCCCTCAGGCTCCTCCTCTCCAGCTGAGCAGCCCCAGCTCCCCCAGCCTTTCCTCCCAGGCAGATGCTCCGTCCCCTCAGCATCTTGGGGGCCCTGCCCTGGACTCTCTCCAGTAGCTCCTTGTCCTTCATCAACTGGGGAGCCCAGAACTGGACCCAGTTCTCCAGCTGTGGCCTCACCAGGGCAGAGCAGAGGGGCAGGAGAACCTCCCTGACTTAATTCCCACACTCTTCTTGATGCCCCCAGGAAGCCATTGGCCTTTTTGACCACCAGGGCACATTGTTGGCTCATGGTCACCCTGTTGCCCACCAGGACCCCCAGGTCCTTCTCCCCAGAGCTGTTCCCCAGCAGGTCCCCCCACCCTGTGCTGATCCATGGGGCTGTTCCTCCGTTTTACACTTGGCCTTGTTGAATTTCATCAAGTTTCTCCCTGCCCAGCTCTGCCCAAGCTCCATCATTCCTGCCTCTCTGCAATCCCAGCAGACAATCCCTGTGAGGGGCAGCACTGACAGGCACAACCAGTTCTCAAGGGAAAAGGATTCAACATCAAATCCATCTTCTCCTCACCGTGTGTCTGGCTCGTGCAGCAGGACAAACACAGCCCATTCCCACAGCCCCTCACTCTCCAGCTGGGCAGCATAGCTGGTGTTCAGCACCCCCTGGCTCTGCCTGAGGAGGTGGGTGTAGTTCAGGGCCCTCAGCACCTCCCAGAGGTGCCAGCTGAGACGATGGTCCAGAGGGTCGGATGTCACGCTCCTGGGATCAAGCAGCTGGTCAAGATCATAGAGCCTGGAGAGGAAAGATGGTTGTATTGTTAGTGGTTAATTGGGGCCATGGAGCACAATTAGAATTTGGTGCTCCTGAGTTCCTGCCCTTCACCCACTTCCAGTTATTCCACAGATGTGACTTATCTGGGTGGGAGGGATTTGGTTGTGGTTTGGTTTTTTTAAAGAAAAAACAGGAGCAATTGTTCAAATCCTTTTGCTCTGGAGTCTGTACCCAGGCTGTGACAGCCTGTTCCCCTGGAGACCCACAGGATGCTGCAGGTTGGAAGGGACCTTAAAGACCATCAGATCCCAAACCCTCTGCAAGGGCAGGGACACCTCCCAGCAGCCCAGGCTGCTCCAAGCCCCATCCAACCTGCCCTTCAACACTGCCAGGGATGGTGCAGCCACAGCTTCTCTGGGCAATCTGTTCCAGTGCCTTCCTGCCCTCATGGGGAAGAATTTCTTCCTGATGTCTGACCTATATCTCCCTTGGAGACCTCACTTGGAGTGTTTTGTCCAGTTCTGGGCTCCCCAGTTCAAGAGAGACAGGGATCTACTGGAGAGAGTCCAAGGGAGGCTATGAGGATGATGAAGGGACTGGAACAGCTGCCTGATGAGGAAAGGCTGAGAGACCTGGGGCTGTTCAGTCTGGAGAGAAGACTTAGGATCTAATCTAATAAATACATGAGGGTGACAAGAAGGCAGGGACAAGCTTTTGTCACCTGTGCCCTGTGACAGGATGAGGAGCAATGGGTTCAAACTGGAGCACAGAAGTTCCACCTCAACATGAGGAAGAACTTCTTTCCTGTGAGGGTGACAGAGCCCTGGGACAGGCTGCCCAGGGAGGTTGTGGAGTCTCCTTCTCTGGAGCCTTTCCAGCCCTGTCTGGATGCCTTGCTGAGTGACCTGCCCTAGTTGTGTTTTTTGGTTTTTTTTGGTCCTGCTCTGGCAGGGGGGTTGGACTCGATGATCTTCAGAGGTCCTTTCCAACCCCTAATATTCTCTGATTCTTCTCTCAGTTTAAAACCATCCCCCTTGTCCTGTCACCCTCTGGTACCTGCTCCTCCTGCAGATTGCTCAAGGCCTTCAAACATGGCAGCCAGGATGCAGGACAATCACTGCACCCCCAGCTACAGACAACAGGTAAGAAACCCCCCACAAACATGCTCCAAAGCTTTAATGTCACCAAGTACAACAGCAGCAGTGACAGGTGACAGTGCCACCACCTTCTGTCGGGGGCACAGGCAAGGCAGGTTTTTTGACTAAGCCTGAGTGGGTCAGGAAATGCTGAAGCTGATTCCATACCCTTGGGAAGTCAAGAACTCACCAACCAAGGTTCTTCCAAACAGTATTTGAACTATTTGCCCACCTACCTGTCACTGTAGAGCTTGAGCAGGTGGAAGCACACGTCCCTCAGAGGCCTTCCTGCACTGTCATCTTCTTCAACCACACAGCCAGAATCCTCCAGGTAAGGAGGCAAAGGGCAGCAGGCGTATTTTTCACACTCTGCTGTGTTCTAAAGAAAGAGTTTGAACAGCTTAAAGTCAGTGCTTGGAACAAAGCTGGAGCCACCCGTGTCCTGGGTTGTGTCACCAGCAGCATGAGCAGCAGGGCCAGGGAGGGGATTGTCCCCTCTGCTCTGCTCTGCTGAGACCCCCCTGCAGGGCTGGGAACAGCTCTGGGGTCCCCAGCACAGGGAGGACACGGAGCTGTTGGAGAGAGGCCAGAGGAGGCCCCGGAGATGCTGGGAGGGCTGGAGCAGCTCTGGAGCCAGGCTGGGAGAGTTGGGGTGTTGAGCCTGGAGAAGAGAAGGCTCCAGGGAGAGCTGAGAGCAGCTTCCAGGGCCTGAAGGGGCTCCAGGAAAGCTGGGGAGGGGCTTGGGACAAGGGCAGGGAGGGATGGGAGCAGGGGGAAGGGTTTCCAGCTGGCAGAGGGAGCTGGAGCTGAGATGGGAGGGAGAAATTCTGGGCTGTGAGGGTGGGGAGAGCCTGGCCCAGGTTGCCCAGGGAAGCTGTGGCTGCCCCATCCCTGGGGGTGTTGAAGGATGGGACTTAGAGCAGCCTGGAATGGTGGGAGGTGTCCCTGCTCATGGCAGGAGGTGGAACTGATCTCTTCCCTTTAAGGTCTCTTCCCATCCAAACATTCTGGGATTCCATGCTTCCACACAACTTAGCAGGCTCACCAGCACATTCCCTGCCTCCCAGCAGAAGCTGCACCCAACTGAGCCTCCAGCCAAACCTTCCACCACAGCTACAGACTAACAGGACACAAAAAAGAAACACCCCAACCCAAACTGCTTTGGCAAAGCTTCCTTTCATCTCACACGGAGCTCCTCAAAGCTGCTGTGTGGAGGTTCAGTCAGCTCTTGCACACACACAGCCTGTATTCCTGAATGGTTTTCAAGCTGGAAAACCACGTGTGACCCAAGCAGTCAAGCTCAGGGATTCCCTGCAGCTGCCTCTGCCCCAGGCAGGCTCTGGGCAGCTCTGCACACACACACTGAATCAACAAGAACAGTTTGACAGGGCACTGAACCCTTTGCCTTTCACACCATCTACAGACTCTAGGTGATCAAAATCCTCCTGACTCACTCACTGCTGGTGAGAACTGAAGATCTGGAGTGGGGGCCAATTCCACCCACTGGGCTCTAGTTATTAGCCCTGGAACACGAGGTTCTTGGGAAGGAGCTGCAGCCACTTTTCCTCCACATCACAGAGCTGCAGCGAGACCTTCTGTCTCTAGCACCATCACCTGAAGTTCAGGTGATGCTACAAAACTGCAGTTGGGTGTTCTGACACACTGCCCAAGGCAACACCCAGCACTGGAGGCTGACAGCCCCACAGCCCCAGCAGGGCTGTGCAGAATGCAGGTGGGCACAGCCCAGCACAGCTGCAGGGCTCAGCACCCTGCTGGGAAAACACAATTTCTCCACATCAACAGGACAGGGAAGGAGAAAACTGGATGACAAATGGGATGAGGTGAAACCAGGGAAGATGTGTTGCTTGTGGCAGTTACTGTTCAGCAGACTTGGCTTGAGACACATGAATTTGCTGCCTGGTGTAACAGGTTTGGGTAGTGAGAAACAAAGACACATTGGAACAATGATTTCCTGTCCTGCCCCCACTTCCCTCCTTTGTTCCTGCCTCCTCTGCCTCCTCCCAGCCTGGCTGTGCTCAGACCATTGTTGTCTCTGGGGCCTGTGGGAAACAAAGCTGCTCTGGTGCTGGAGCAGTTCCTCTCCACCTCTGCTTACACTGCTGGTTTCACTTTGGTTTTCTGCCTGTTGGGCGTGTTCTGCCCTTTCTGAAGCTCTCACTGGGGCACCACCAGCTTTGTTGGTTAGTTCAGAGGTGCCACAAAGTCTCTTGGTGGGCTGAGCTGTGTCCAGCACAGGGCAGCACCTCCCCTCTTCAGAGACCACCCCTGCAGCCCCCCTGCTACCAACACCTTGCTGGTTACACCCAAGAATCCACTGACAGTGACTGGAACAGGGATGATACCTCTAATAACAAGCATGGAGCTGCTTCCTGAGTTGAGCACACCTGAGATGTTTCTGTGGGGACAGTTTCTGCCCTGCTCCTGTTCATTGCAGTCAGTGTCTGCTTCCCTCCCGAGATGCTGCTGCTCTAGTGGTCTGACTGTGACAATATCATTAAATTAGTGACATCTTTGGAAATGCAGGGGTGAGGCTGTGTCTGTGCTGGCCTCGGGGTGACTCCCTGCACCTGAGCTTGGATGCTGCAGGTCACCCCGTGCACAGAGGGCTTTGCAGAGCAGGTAACCTGCTTAGCTCTGAGGTACCATCACAGATCAGGGCAGATGTTTCCACTGGCCTGGGCCAGGCTGCCCAGAGAGGCTGTGGAGGCTCCTTCTCTGGGGACATCCCAGCCCCTCTGGAGGTTCCTGTGGGACCTGCTGGAGGTGACCCTGCTCTGGCAGGGGGTTGGATGGATGATCTCCAGAGCTCCCTTCCAACCTCAAACATCCCATGACTTTCTCAGAGGACCCCCAGTGTAAGATGAGCCAGTCCACAGCACAGAGTGTCTCCTCCTCAGGCATGATGTCCTACCTGGAATGCTGCCTCATACATGGCCAGAGCCTTGGCAATGGAGGCTGTTGGAGGCAGCAGGTACCAGAGGTGAACAGCCACGCAGCGCTTCCAGTCCAGCAGCGAGCACACGTTGATGCTGACACGTTCTGAGAGCTGCCACACCTGCAGAAACACACCCAGCTCTGACTGACCTTACCAGACAATGGTTGGGACACACCAAGGATGAACTGGTAAAAAAACAAACAGGTCAACACTTGTCTCCCCCTCCTGCTGTGTACCAGGCTGGAGAGTTGGGTGGAGAGGAACCTCATGAGGTTCAATGCATGTGGGAGGAATAACCCCGGGCACCAGGACAGGTGGAGAAAAACCTGGGAATCCTGATGGACAACATGTTCATCAGGAGCCAGCAGCCTGTCCTTGAAGCCATGGAATCTTGGGGTGTGTTAACCAAGAGTGTGTCCAGCAGGTCAGGGAGGTTCTCCTGCCTCTCTGCTCTGCCCTGGTGAGGCCACATCTGGAGAACTGGGTCCAGTTCTTGTCTCCCCAGTTCAGGAAAGACAGGGAACTACTGGAGAGAGTTCAGTGGAGGGCTATGAGGATGATGAGGGGCTTGGAGCATCTCTCTTAGGGGATGGGGCTGCTCAGCTGTGAGAAAAGGAGGGTGATGGGGGATGTATCTGTGGTTATAAATATCTCCAGGGGGTGTCAGGAATATGGAGCCAGACTCTTCTTGGTGCCCAGTGACAGGACAAGGGGCAATGGGCACAAAGTGGAACCCAGGAAGTTCCATCTGGACAAGCAATTTGTTGCCTGTGAGGGTGACAGAGCTGCCCAGGGAGGCTGTGGAGTCTCCTTCTCTAGAGACATCCCAACCCCTCTGGAGGTTCCTGTGGGATCTGCTGGCAGGGGGTTGGACTGGATGATCTCCAGAGCTCTCTTCCAGCCTCACCACTCTGAGACTCTGTGCTCAGTTAAACATCTTGTTAGATGTCAAATCGCCCTGTACTGACTGTAACTCCTGACCTCTGCTGGGAAGCAGATCGCCAGCAGCCTGTCCTTGAAGCCATGGAATCTTGGGGTGTGTTAACCAAGAGTGTGTCCAGCAGGTCAGGGAGGTTCTCCTGCCTCTCTGCTCTGCCCTGGTGAGGCCACATCTGGAGAACTGGGTCCAGTTCTTGTCTCCCCAGTTCAGGAAAGACAGGGAACTACTGGAGAGAGTTCAGTGGAGGGCTATGAGGATGATGAGGGGCTTGGAGCATCTCTCTTAGGGGATGGGGCTGCTCAGCTGTGAGAAAAGGAGGGTGATGGGGGATGTATCTGTGGTTATAAATATCTCCAGGGGGTGTCAGGAATATGGAGCCAGACTCTTCTTGGTGCCCAGTGACAGGACAAGGGGCAATGGGCACAAACTGGAACCCAGGAAGTTCCACCTGGACAGGCAATTTGTTGCCTGTGAGGGTGACAGAGCTGCCCAGGGAGGCTGTGGAGTCTCCTTCTCTAGAGACATCCCAACCCCTCTGGAGGTTCCTGTGGGATCTGCTGGCAGGGGGTTGGACTGGATGATCTCCAGAGCTCTCTTCCAGCCTCACCACTCTGAGACTCTGTGCTCAGTTAAACATCTTGTTAGATGTCAAATAGCCCTGTACTGACTGTAACTCCTGACCTCTGCTGGGAAACAGATCTCAATCTTCTTGATACCCTTGGATCACACATGGTGTCTGTGGCTCAGCAAGGTTCCTGCTGTTTCTGCTGAAGAACTTGTCTATACAGAACTTATCACAGGACAAGCTCACTGCTCAAGGACTTGCCCTGAAAACATCATTAGTGCAAAATACTGTAACTGTTCCATTGCAGCTGAACTGAAGCATGTGTGTTTGGAAGGAGAACTGGGGAATCAAAAAAATGAAGGGTCTGGAGGACAAGGAGAAGGGTCTGGAGAACTTGTGAGGAGCAGCTGAGGGGGCTGGGGGTGTCCAGCCTGGAGCAAAGGAGGCTGAGGGGAGACCTGCTGGCTCTGCAGCTGCTGAGAGGAGGTTGGAGCCAGGGGGGGTCAGTCTAGAAGTGACCCTGTTCTAGCAGGGGGTTGGGACTGGATGATCTCCAGAGGTCCCTTCCAACCCCCCACCATGCTGGGACACCCCATGTTGCGGCCAAGTGTGCTGTCAAGAAGGGGAGAGAGTCAAGGACACCCTGGGTGGGTGGCAGAGCTCACCGGCTTCCCGGCCAGCAGGGCGAAGAGGTGCAGCCGCTCCTCGGCGATGAAGCGGTCGGCCTGCAGCCGGTGCCAGTCCACCAGCTGCATGGTCAGCAGGTCCCCCAGGGGCTGGCTGCCCTCCAGCTGGGACAGCAGCAGAGCCAGCCTGTGGTCACCTGCAAGAGGAGACAACAGCACCTCAGCAAAGTCCTCCCAGTTTCGGGGCACTCGGCTCAACCTCCAGCTGCAGCGCTGGGCTTCGGGCGCGGTTTCTTCTTGAATAAACCCCTCTGTGAACACCCAGCAGAACGGAGGTAGGGGACAAAGGAAGGGGAAGGAGAGACACATCCCTCACCCAGAGATGATTTTAAGACTTTAACTGACATAAAAGACCAAGATTAAACCAACCCTTAGGCTCTGAAAAGACACATTTTAAAAACAAACACGGAGCAAAAGCTCAGTGGGAAATAACAGCGATTAAAGACCCTTCCAAGGGAGATGCTGTGCAAAAACATCACGTGGAACAGAGCGTGTTCCTGACCCCAGGAGAGCTGGTGAGGGCAGTGTGAGCATGACCAGGTAGTCAAGCAGCAAGCAGACCAGCCAGCTCCCACCTTAACCACTGTCATAGAACCATGGAATGGTTTGGGTTGGAAGAGACCTTAAATCCCACCCAGTTCCAACCCCCCTGCATGGGCAGGGACACCTCCCAGCAGCCCAGGCTGCTCCAAGCCCCATCCAACCTGCCCTTCAACACCCCCAGGGATGGGGCAGCCACAGCTTCTCTGGGCAACCTGGGCCAGGCTCTCCCCACCCTCACACCACAGAATTTCTCCCTCCCATCTCAGCTCCAGCTCCCTCTGCCAGCTGGAAACCCTTCCCCCTGCTCCCATCCCTCCCTGCCCTTGTCCCAAGCCCCTCCCCAGCTTTCCTGGAGCCCCTTCAGGCCCTGGAAGCTGCTCTCAGGTCTCCTTGGAGACTCTGGTCAGAGGCTCAGTCCCTGTCAGCTCCCACAGTGACAATCCTCCTCCTGTGTCTCCCTTCTTGCTCCCCTCAGAAAGCTGAGGGATCCACCCAAGAGCCTCACCTGCCTGCTGTGCCAGCCTGCAGGCTTCACCAATTCTCCTCCCAGTCAGGCAGCTGAACACGGCCTCCACGGGGCTGCCGTGGCGGGACAGGGACACCTCCTCCTCCACGCGCCGCGCCGCCGTCTCCGCCAGCCAGCGGGAAAAGGCCCTTCTGCGCTCCAGGGACAGCAGGTACTCGCTGGGCTCCTCCAGCCTGGCCTCCAGCTCCTTCAGGTTGCCCCAGATGGCTTCACACAGAGTCCACGTCAAGCACCAGTGCTTCACCACAGCTGTCAGGAGAGGAATCCAGTCACCAGGAGTGAACAGGCGGGAAAGAATTCTTTAGAGAGGACTGGGATATGAGGATAAGCAGAACCTTAGGATCATGGTGGGGGAAACTGTTCTGTTCTTCCCCATATAAGTCTAAACAAAACATGGAGCTGTTTCAGTTGGAAAAGACCTCCAAGATCATCCAGTCCAACTATTAACCCATCCCTGCCAAGGCCACCACTGCCTCATGTCCCTCAGCACCATCCCCAGGGCTTGGAAACCCCTCCAGGGATGGGGACTCCCCCCCTGCCCTGGGCAGCCTGGGCCAGGCCCTGACAACCCTTGCCAGGGAGAAATTGTTCCCCAGATCCAACCTCAACCTCCCCTGGCACAACTTGAGGCCGTTCCCTCTTGTCCTGTCGCTTGTTCCTGGGGAGCAGAGCCCGACCCCCCTGGCTCCAACCCCCTCACTCAGCTGTGGGCAGGGAGGTGTCTCCCCTGGGGATGCTACCATCACCTTGTAGGATATCTCAGAGGCCATCCTACTGCTCCAGGAAAGCAGCTAGCTCTCCAGATGCCATCACCCTTGTTAATGCTTTCAGAAAGAAGGTTGAGGCACAGTCAGTTGTTCTCTTTTATTCACATTTCCCTGCTCTGATGTCACCTGGAGAGGTTTCCAGTCTCACTGGCACCACAAAGAGCATCACTCCATACTCACTCTCTGTCCCTGCAGGATCCTCGGACGCCTCCCGAGCCCAGTCTGCGTAGTCATGGATGGCAGAAACTCCTGGGTTGGGAGCTAGAAGAGGACACTTCTCATCCATGTGGACAGTGCTGTGCTTCAGCTTTATCTCCAGGGGGATGAGGTACAGCTGTTTGTCCCTGCCCCTCTTCCGTTGCTCTAAGCTCAGCTTCTCCACATGAACTTTGAAAGAGGATTCTGAGAGTCTGGAAGGAAAAAAATAGAAGATAAAAACAGGTGGTGATGGTCTGAATTGGGGTAGAGACCAGGGAGAATCATGGAATGGTGAAGGTGCCTTCCAACCTTCAAGATCACCAGGTTCCAACCCCTCTGCTAGGAGCAGGGACACCTCCTACCAGCCTAGGCTGCACAAGCTTCATCCTTCAACATCTCCAGGGAGGGGGCAGCTACAACCTGCATGGGCAACCTGTTCCAGTGCCTTCCTGCCCTCATGGGGAAGAATTTCTTCCTGATGTCTAAATTCTGTGCTGTGAGGCTGGTGAGACCCTGGCCCAGGTTGCCCAGAGAAGCTGTGGCTGCCCCATCCCTGGAGGTGTTGAAGGGCAGGTTGGATGGGGCTTGGAGCAGCCTGGGCTGGTGGGAGGTGTACCTGCCCATGCAGGGGGTTGGAACTGGATGATCTTGAAGGTCCCTTCCCACCCAAACCAGTCTGGGATTCTATGAATTGTTCTCCATGCACATGATCTGCAGCCACCACAGGGCAGCTTGTCCTAATCCAAGGGCAACAGCTCAAAGAACCTCGTCACACAGCCTGGGATTCAGAGCCAGACTTTGGCACATGAACCTCACTGAACTGGGGGTTCCATCTGTCTGAAGGCAACAACCAGCACACCTCACCACAGCCCAGTGCACCTGGTAAGAGCACTTCATTCTCTCAGCAAATCAGATATGCTGGAGAACATCCATCAAATAATCTTTTTGTGAAGACCTAAATGGTGGAACATCTAGTTTGACTCCAGCTAAGTTTAGGTATGGAGCCCCACAGCCCAGGGAAGGGCTGTACCCTGGTCCATACACAAGCAGAACTGAAGGCATCTCCATTCAGAAGCTGAACAGGAAAGTCCTCAGGCAGTGCAGATATCCTCAGGGGGATCCAACAGCAGATTAGAAGCTTCATGGACAACAATTTTGAACTTTCTCTCTAACCTTTGCCAGGTGACACTGCCATTCATTTGTTACAAAAAAACCCCAACCACCCCCAACCTGCTCTTGCTACAATATCCCAGCTCTTCTGAGATACAGGTATTTGTAAAGCAGCAACCTGAAGGACACTCCATGGCTAACATGACCTCGCACCACTTCAGCCCACCAGAAGGAATATTGAGCTGAATTTCAAAAAGGAACTGATGAACAATCAAGATTCTGCCAAACAGGAGGAGAGAATATGTTGGACCCACCGTGGAGGAAAGAGCTACTCACGGTTTTGGAGCAACAGGAGTTGGCAGGAACCCATATCCCACAGACTCGTCCCGAACATCCTCCCTTTCACTTGATGCACTCAGCTGATCTCCACAATTGACAAGTGTCCAGTTGGGCCCCCAACCAACACGAAATGAGCGTCCCATGAAGAGTGCCATGTCCATCAGCAGCTTCCCTTTTCCATAGGTGATGGACTTTTCCAGGGGCACCAGCCCCCGCTGCCGACGGACACCGACGGTTTTCATCTGCACCTCGGGGACCGACGGAGGGACGGAGAAGGCAGAAGCCAAGGGAGAAGTGGCTGACCAAGGGGTGACAGCAGGGGGGCTGCTGGATGTCCTGGGTCCCTTGGCATCTTGCAGAGCAGCACTCGGAGGTTGGAAAAAGGCATTAGCAAACTTGGATTGCAGCAGCCCACCAACTGGAGGGAAGGAGGAGGAACATGGAGGTGAGCGGGGTGAGCACTTTTCAGGCAGCACAACTCTGGTATTTCATAGTCAAGACTGGTGGGGTTGGAAGGGAGCTCTGGAGATCCCCCATCCAACCCCCTAGAGCAGGATCCCTCCAGCAGGTCCCACAGGAACCTCCAGAGGGGCTGGGATGTCTCCAGAGAAGGAGCCTCCACAGCCTCTCTGGGCAGCCTGGCCCAGGGCTCTGCCACCCT